AGGAAACTGGCATGTTGGGTTGTAAACCTAAGGAAACTCCTATTGTGGTCTCGAAAAAGAAGAGGCCACCTAAGAAAAGCGGCACTGAGGAGTTAGAAGGAGAAGACAACTCTGATAATGAAGTTGAAGAAGAAGAAGACAAGGAGAAAGAAGAAACCATTGATAAAGACAGATATTAGAGACTGGTTGGGAAGCTGATTTATTTATCCCATACGAGGCCAGATATTGCTTTTGCTGTCAGTGTAGTAAGTCAATACATGTGTGATCCAAGGAAGAGACACCTAGAAGCTGTATATAGGATTCTCAGATACCTTAAGGGTACACCTAGTAAGGGATTGTTATTCAAGAAGTATGATCAAAGGACAATTGAGATTTACACTGATGCAGACTGGGGGGACTTATGGAGACAGGAGATCCACCTCTGGCTATTGTTCATTTGTGTGGGGAAACTTAGTAACCTGGAAAAGTCAAAAGCAAAGAGTTGTATCCAGAAGCAGTGCTGAATCAGAATTGAGAGCATTAGCTCAAGGAATTACAGAAGAACTATGGATAAGAAGGGTCATGGAAGAAATAGAAGTCAGAGTTGATCCACCAATGAAATTGTATTGTGATAATAAGGCTGCTATAAGCGTGGCATTGAATCCTGTACAGCATGAGAGATCTAAACATGTTGAAGTGGATAAACATTTTATCAGAGAGAAAGTAGAAGGAGGTATTGTATGTCTGACATACCTACCTACAAAGTTACAAGCTGCGGATGTACTAACCAAGGGACTACCCAAGCCTGCATTTGAGAGTTGTATAAGCAAGTTGGACATGATTAGCATCTATGAACCAACTTGAGGGGGAGTGTGGGAATATTATGTTATTATTGAGAATTATTAGCATTTATTAGGATCTCATTAATTAGGCTTTATTAGTATTTATTAGCTTATGTTATTATTGAGAATTATTAGCATTTATTAGGATCTCGTTAATTAGGCTTTATTAGTATTTATTAGCTTTTATCTCTCTTGATGTATATATATAAGACCAGTGTGTACATTAGAATTGCAATGAGACAATGCAATTTTTTCCTCTCTGAAAATTCCACAGATTGTGTTGTTCTTAAATCTTATCGATGAAGTAGCAACTTGAAGACTTTAAAATCAAGTTCAAGAATATTCCAATCAAATGTGACAATACCAATAGAATATGCTTGACTAAAAATTTGATTCACCATTCTCGAACTAAGCATATTGACATACGTCATCACTTCATCAGAGATCATGTTCGAAAGAAAGATGTCACTATAGAATTCATTCCTACTAATCTACAACTTGCTGATATCTTCACAAAACCTCTAGGAGCAGAACAGTTCGTATTCATAAAAAGAGAGTTGGGTCTGTTAAATCTCAACAAATTGCAAGTAATTTCTTCTTCTTACTCATTCTTTTTAATCTATTTAATTATGTATTCTAACTTAGGCATTAAAGTGGTAATTTGAAAGTGCAGGTCTCTGTCTAAAAAAATTTTCTATTGGTGTTATAAAACTATATAACACTGGTGTTAAAAGTTTAACACCAGTACTAATAGTTATTCTGAGATATTGCAAAAAGCAAACTTTGATAGTAACACCAGTGCTATGCTATTTAACATCAATGCTATGAAAACCACTTCAAAGTTATTAACTTTTTCAAGAGATAAGTATGACACCTTAAAATGACTTAGCATGGATAAGCCCAAATTGATTCACATCTTTAAATGAAGTAATCGTTAAACTTCAATATTTTGAGGTTAACACCGGTGCTATATCTATATATATATATATATCTGTCAATGTGCTTTCTCGCTCAGTTCACTATTTGGCCCTAAAACCGCCGGAGCTACTCTCCTCTCGCATACTCCCTCTTCATAACTATTTCTCCTGTAAACCCGATCATTCTACTATCAAATTTACACCATTGTCTCCATTCAAAATTCTAATAAACACTAACTAATCCTTGATGAAGCCCGCTTGAAGAAAAATGACTAAAGAAGCTCTGAAAGCTTGAGGACTCTCTGTATCTGATTTCTTCTAAGCTAGAGATATTGTGGTTAAGAGAGTTGGGTCTAGATGAGGAAATCCAAGTCTCAATAGCTCAATGAAGTAATGAATAAATCAAAGTAAGTTGCAAAAGTTAGAAAGAGAAAGGAAAGAATGAAGACAAAATCTCTCAATAAAGAACAAGTGAGAACTACTGGTCCATCTCAACTCACTCCTAAGAAGCCGAGGACTACTTGAAAAGGACAAAGAGCAACAAAGAAAGCTAAGGCTAAGAACATGATTCAATCTGCTTCGATAGAACACCCGAGGGTACAATGCCTAGCCAACCTCACTCTGGAATCCATGAAGAACAGAGGAAGAGAAAAGGAAAAGCTCCTATCATTGAGGCATCAAATGAGAGTAATGATTTTGCTAGCTTCTGCTTTGACTCACTCCACACTAAATAGATTCCATGCTTGGCATTGAAAATGACCAGAAAAGAAGTCAGTAAATCTTGGATTGTCAACCTCACAGAGCTCAAAGAGAAGGGATATGATGTCATGGAAATGATGAAGCCTTACAAGATACTATTGGAGCTCAACATGGTAGTAAGTTTAGAAGTTGTAAAAGCTTTTTACAATTCTCTACAAGTTCTGCACAATGGTGAGGTGCTAAGAGTAGCAGTGAGAGGGAAGTCTTTTGACATTACAGAAGACTATCTCAACACCTTTCTTGATTTTCCAACTAATGAGAGGTTGATGAGGCTATCAAATCTATCCTATGAGAAGTCAGTCATGTTCACAACACTAGTGCCAACTTGGGAAGAAAGCACCGGTCTAGTAGAAAAGCCCAAGTCTATGCCAACACTTCATAGAGTAATCTACCACATTCTGTTAAGGTCAATTACTTGAAAAAGAATTGGGGTAAATAAGTTTATCACTGAGGACTTGAGGTTTCTAATTGCTTTAATCAAAGGATTTAAATTTGATGTCGCCTCCATTATCTTTGAAAAGATCAAGAACTTAGTCCAGCTGAGCAAAAAAAGAGATGGAAAATATCTCATCTATGGAAATATAATTTCTAAAATGCTGGAAGATTAGAAGATTATGTACCTAGAAGGCAATAAAGTATTGGGAAATGAGGAGATCAATTCTGTGACTTTGAGAAATATGGAGATCATTAAAGAAGGAGGAGGTGGTGCCCAGAGTGAAGCTCATTAAGTAGCTGCTCATAGTGCTCAAGGCAGATAAGATTCTCAACTAACTCAGAATGATTCATCTGTCCCACCATCATCACAAGGAGTATATCTTGATTCAGATACTGTCAAGTGGTTGGATAGGAGATTCAAGATTCAAGCTGAGCTTTTCACCTAGTGTCTTAAAAGATAAGTTAAAGATTTCGATAAGAAATTGAAGAAAGCCTCTAAAGAAATTAGAGAAGAATTTAAGGAAGAAATTGGCTTGCTGAGAGCTCAAGACCAAGAGACTCATCCGAGCACTATTCTCCTTTTAGAATGGGTACTCCTACTGTGTCTCTTTCCAAAAGAATGTTAGTGTTCTTTTACATGAGGATTTTGTGTTAGTACACACATCCAGCACCTTTACTTTAAAGAAAGAGATTGGGACAACCATTGATAGTGACTTACAAATACCCTTTAAGATTGAGAATCTGAGGGTTGGACCAGTTTTCTCTATTAATTCTGAACTAAGAGCCATGTTTGAAGATAGTTCAAAAGGAGCTGAGTCACATGCTTCAGAAAGCAACAAGCTAGCACTGGTTGTGGCCAAGATTGCCAGAGAGTATATTAAGATATCTAATGATGAGGAAGACTTAAGAGTCTATACAGTCATCCTCACCTTCTACTCCATTCTTCTTTGGTGTTAACTATACTAAAGCCTTTCAAGACTTAATCAAGAGAAATCTTAATTTTGTGTTGTTTCCCACACCATTCACTACCATATTGAAATTTGGTGCAGTGTTCAAGCCTCTACCAAGGTTCAAGAACAAACTAATCTGGATTGAAAGTGGTACTTCTTCATCTTATATGCCTTCATCCAACTTGTTTGTTCCTGTTAATTTGTCCAAGCCTTTTGTTGATGACGAAAAGAGGGAGAAGTGTGATGCAAAGTCAGTTCACAAGGCAGACAGCAAGGTTCAAGATAGTGGATTAGATAAAAGCATTGTTGAAGATTCGGGAAGTGGCAAGCATAAAGGTTAACCTGTTGTGAGAAGACCAAGAAATGCCTTGCCTAGACTCAACAGATTCAGAGCAAAGTCTTCAGAGACTTATAATCATCTATGTCAAGCTCCATTCCTTCTACTCTCGTGATTGATGATTTCGTTCCTTCATCTCACTTATTATTACCGCATTTTATTTAAATTTTCAATTAGCCCAATTCACCCCCCTCTTGGGACATTTGCATATATCAATCACAAATAAATATATTAACAAGTTTAATTACAATCCAAAGCTTGAAGATTTTTTATAATCAATTATAATGTTAGAAGCTTTATTAGATGCATGAACTTGCCTTTCAGTTCATCATTTTACAACTTTAAATCATTATTAGAACTCAATACGTTGATCAAGGAAATACAATAAGCTCATCATTCCATATCAAGGCTTCCCAAAAAGTAATAGTAGCTCTAACTTGCCTCAGGTCTGTAAAACTTTTCAGTAATTTTCAAAAGCCTTATGAGAGATCAAATATTTCCTTTAGTCTCTCCAATTTCATACAATTACAAATAAAATTACAAAAAAGGCATTAAAGTACTAAACTGAATAGGAAATTCTACAGTAGCTCTAGGAATTAAACAGTCTCAGGTATCTAAAAATTATGATAGCATTAACCCAATACTTGAGCACCTCCGGTGGTCCTACTCATCTAGCGTTAGTCAAAAAAAATAATAGCAGCATTTACCTCAGTAATATACTTGAAGTAGCTATCTTCTACGGGTTATTTTTCACTGGCATAAAACAGCATGTGCTCTGCAAGCAACAAAAATCAACTGATCATCAGGTTATAATTTTTTAAATAAGTAGCATTCCCATCACATCCTCAGATAAAGCGCCCTTAAGGTGAGCAATCTATGTTAAAATATAAATTGAATTCTTGCTAACCAGATTAGGTCTATCATTCTCCTTATTTCTTGTCTCTCTTTGGGTGGGAAGCCATCTATTGTTAAAGTCAACTTGACAATAGCTGGGCGGCAATTATTGATTATTCATGCAGAAAGTAATTTTAATTTTAAAGTATATTGGAACATGCAACTCTCCAACAACACCGAGTTTTTACCAACGCAGCAAGCAAAATAAAAATATTCAAAACTGAAAAGCTATCAAAGTAGTAGCCGCTGCCGGCGTTTTTGTGGGCGGTGGGGAGGGGGGAAGGTGCCTCTCCTTTTCCTTACCTCCTTTTCCCACCACTTCCCCCATCTTGAACCGAAAAGGAAAGACCCTTCCCCCACAATCGACGTCGTTCAAAGTATAAAAAATTTAACAAAACCCGATGACCGCATCAAAAAGTCAAACTATACCCAAGAAATGGGCAAGGCCTTCAAGACTGTCTGGATCATTGAAGGAGTCGACACTAGAAAAATAACAGACACAGATAATTTAAAAAAGACTAGAATTCAAAATAGAAAACAACATTGGGAGAAGATTCAACCATATCGATATTGGGATCGCAATGAGAAGCACTTCAAGTGAGTTTCGAAGAACGATCCTTCTGTAATCCCTCTTGTCCGAGCGAGCTTTAAAAATATCTACCTCTTCCTTCCCCACCGCCATCGTCAATTTGTAGTCGCTTCTTTCCTCTCTTCTCTCTTCTGTCACTTCCTCTCAATCCCAAGAGAGAAACGTGCTGGCAGCCAAGTGGACAGCAACATTTCATTTCTCTTCCAACTCAGCAACTCTGCATTCTCCACAATTCCTCTAGTACTCAAATATCAGGCACAGGAACAATCAAAATCCATCATTTAATCTTTCATCCTCGAACAAAACTGCAACTTTTCTGATTGTTGTTCGCGTGGGGGAGAGGGTACCTTTTTTAATTAACCAAACAAAAAAGTTAAAGTGTATTTTGAATTTTGATGCTTAAAAATATTTTATTTTTAATCTTATACAATATATTTTCAACCCTTTAATTCAAATATCACTGAGCTTAAATAATTATTTTTATCAATCATTATTATTTTAAAAAATAAACTTACTATATTAATATTTCATAATATTTAGTTAATATTTAAAAATTTAATGCAAAAGTTTTTTTGATAAAATTAAATGATGCTTTAATAAACAAATTAAGAAAATAATTCATAAAATTTTAGATAAATTTAAAGAATTAGAGCTAAAATTTAGCTGAAAAAAATATTTTAATCAATATTAAAATCTTATAATTTAAAAAATACAATTCTACGATTGAATATATTAAAATAACTATTTTTCATGTTCGCTGATATATTTTTGATTTCTGGACGGTCATCTGTAAATTAAGCCCCAACGTCGACACAAATATTATCTGTTAGTCCCAGAAGACTAAAACGAGAGACAATGAAAAGGGGATTCAATGAGATTCTTAAAAATTATAATCAATTTAGCGGGATAAATAACACAAAACCTCCGCGTCATGTTGCCCTTATGGTTTCGGATTATCCCACGGCAGCCGCCGAGACTATATCCCACTTGTGTCTCCAGTCTAAGCTACCATTGACAGCTTCGGCCTTAATTCGACAGAGCCTCTGATCTGCTAGTATGGGCACAATAGAAGACCCCATTATTATTTATTAGAAGGCCAGATACACTGACAAATAATTGCAAGAGCGACCCCCTGCTCAATTCTTTTCATTTTACCTTTGCTTAGATTCCATTAGTTGGCCCATTGCATCACATCCGCGACACGAGTCCCTGCATTGCAGTCATGTAGCGTGCGACTCGTGCTTTCGACTTTCACCACGCGCAAGCAGTGCCGATCAGACGAATTCAGCCCTCTCAAGGTTCGTGATTTGTTAGTTGGGAATATATTGTTCATTGATCATTGTCAACCGCAGCAAGGGTTTTGCGACGTTTGGGATGCATGAAGTTTCTAAATGGATCTTAAGATGGGCCATTTTCCATCTTTGCCAGTATTAGCGGGGAAACTATTTACAAGCATCAAAACAAACATGTCACAGAAACAGCAAAAGAGGTTGCAGCAGTTACCACTTTGAAAATTAGAATGGAAAGAAAAAGGAGTGGAAAGGAGGTTGATGAATAATAAAACCCAGCACTGTACAAACGAGGGACGAAGAGGCTATCGCTGCAAAACCTGCCATTTCTTCAAACTGTCAGACGATGATGACCTCGCATCAGACGTAGTATTAGAACAGATGCCGTTTCTTCGCATAGCTGTAAAACCAATGCTCAGACGACAGTGGAATAATGGTCCAAGCACCATCTCACAATTAAATAGTACTAGAATAGAGTAGCATTCACGCAACTTTTCTTAAAGAAATTAAGAAATTAAAAATTTAGACCGTCATTAATTTTGTAGATAAAAAATGTAAATATAATTGGATGATATAAAAAATGTAAATATAATTCATAAATTACTAATACAAATATTCTAGGCCATTAAATTTGCATTGTTACTGGTTTCTAAAATTGAGATGAATTCAAGATTTATAATTTTTTTATGCACATGATTTAATATGATAAGATATCACGAAAAATACAGCAATCAAACAAGCGAGGCCACAAAGGCTAGAAATCACATTTGATGGAGCGAAAATGAGAATAGAGACGAGAATAGGAGAGAATTTTACAATTTAAAATATATTTGGTAAATAAGAAAAGAAATAAAAATATTTTTTATTATATATTTGATTGATAGGATAAAAATAGAGAGGTAATGGGAACTAAAAAGAGCAACTGACCATAATAACCTTAATAAAAAATAATGAAAATATCTTAAACTAAATATTAAAAAATTAGGATGGATTAGTCATTTTACTAGTATTTCCAACCTGAGAAGCAAATATTCATCCATTTTTTATGGAAAGACACGGGCCATATCCCAGATCTTTACAACATGAAAGCCATGCTTTCATGTTTGGTATATAGAATGAAGATTTCCAAAGCCAAATACATCGACAAAAATACCTCCAGTTCTACCTTTCATTGCCTACTCGCAGCGCCCTTCACAGCAAACCCTACAAAGGCAACTGATGCTATTTGCAGATGATATTATTAACAAGACTGCAGAATCAATCAATCAGGTGGGAAGGTGAATGGTGATTGGAAATAAGTTAATTACAGCTACAGGCATTAAAATTGAAACAAAACTCACTAAAACAAAATTAAAATTGAAACACAACGGAAGCATGACATGGTGTGATAAATAAAACTACAATCAATCGGTCAAAAATGGAAAATCAATTATAGATGATTGTACGTATTCTTCACGTCCGTGGTTGATTGAATGCAAAGATTTTTAATAGAATGGAGATGGGAATATAAAAGAGAGTAGAATAGGATTTGTAATTTGAAATATATATAGAAGATAGGAAAAGAAATAAGAACAGTTTTTTATTAGTCGCACTGGTAGAATAAAAATAGAGAAAGCATTGGGAAACAAAAATGAGCAACTGACCATGATAACCTTAGTAAAATATCTTAAACTATACACATAAAAAATTATGGTGAATTTTAGTCATCTAACCTGTATTTCCAACATGAACAGTAACTTCCCCTTCACTTTTTGATAGAAAATCTAAATCGTTTCTTTCCAACATAAATCCCATACGTCCCAAGGACTTTAATTTGACATAGCTTCCTATCTTGATCTGCTAGTGCCTAGTATTGGCACCATTGAAGATCCCATTATTTCTTCAAAGCCAAATACACCGATGAGGAATACATTCATCCAAACTTTGCTTGGATTCCATTTGATTGGCCCATTGCATCATGTCTGCACGAGAGAAAAAGCTACGCCAGAAAGGATTCAAGATTAATGTCATCCAAAGATTCAAAGGAAGGGGACCTAAAGGGGTAAAGGGATGAAAACCACATGTAAAGGAAAAGATTGTCAAATAACTCCTCTGACTTTCCAATAAAAAATATACCCCCCCTTTTTTTCTATTTTATGAAACACATTAGGCCCCATTTTATACAGGGGGCTCCTATTTACAAGACCCATCCCACAAAAAAAGATCCGCCCCGTAAGCCAATCACCCTTTTTTCCCTTTAAAATATCAAAATGCAACATACCATATAAATTAAATTTCAATATGCCATATAGAATCATTTCCCTCATGGTAACATCAGCAGATCTAATTGATTCGATGAAGAATTGAGCAAATTTGGAAGACAAACCATGGCCTAACATCAGATCTTGTGAAAGAAAATTATCACAGGAAATAGGAAATGAAGGAGACCACAACAGTGGGCTCACCATGTCTAAAGCCTCCTCAAAAGCACCAATGTTAACACCAAAGTAATGGTTGGTGTAAATATAAATTCTTTAACTTGAGTTATGGCGTAAGTATAATTGATAAATTACTAAAATAATTAGACCGAGACATTAAATTTGTGGCTCAAATGTTACCAGTTTTAAAATTGAGATAAATTTAATGTCTTCAACTTTTATTAATAAACATGGGAGTTGGGGAAAAGTAGTACAAGAAGAAGCTAGATTTGGGTTAACAATAAAATATCCAGAAAGGCCGTTACAAAACTCTCTCAAAGAAAATAGAAATTGGCAAAATGAGTGAGGCCCTGTTGTAAGACCATATTTGGTGGAACGAAAAGATATCTAATAGAATGAAAATAGGAATAAAGATGAGAATAGAATAGAATCTTGCGATGTAAAATATATGCTTGATAGTATAAAAATAGACATGAGATTTTCTTTTTTTTTTTTGCCTAAAACATGAGAATTAAAAATGAGCAACAAAAACATGGTAATCTTAATAAAAATATTTTAAGAAAAAAATAAAAAATTATTTTAGGCTTTCAAAGAACTCTTCTTACGAAAGCTATCGAAGTTGTGCGATGCATATGAAATTATAAATGTAAGCAGACACAACGACCTGCTCAAAAAGTCAAACTTTACCAGGGAAATGTTCAAAGCCTTCGAGACCGTTTGGAGCCGACACAAACGTCCATGTAAGCAGAACACTGGTTAAATCACAGCAACAAAGATAAAGAACTTGAATTCAAAACACAGAGCAACGTCAGGAGATAATTCAAACTTATCAGTATCAGGATCGCCGATGAGAAGCACTTCAACTAGCTCCAGAGAAAGATCCTTCAGTAAAGTACTCAAATACATAGGAACAAGCATTAAAGATCAGAATTATTTCTTTTAGCATTAATAAGCTCAAAATGACATTAATTAAGATTGTTCTAGAAAAAAGGTTGAATATTACAAACAATGATCCCACCAAGCATGGTTGACTACTAACTTCACAGAGAACAGTTTCCTCCTCACTAGGTCCTTCTGGCATCCAGCACAGTTTAGAGGCTAAAAAATTCTCCCCTATTACATTGACAAAGAAAATGGTCCAAATGATTTCATTAGGCCCCAAGACATCAGTAACAGTAAACTTAGTCTCAATCGGTCCCATTGCAATCCGACACACAGCAACTAAAGTCACTTCAGAACCTACTATAAGTCACAGAACACACACAAATGAAACCAGTGGCCAGATTAATTAAAGAAAGTGGAACCTTGAGGCAAAGACCCATAAAAAGTAAAGCTGCTAAAAAGGGACTGGCCTCACGTCTTAGTTGTTTTATTGATGCAGCAAAACTAAAGTAACTGAACAAATAAACTCACGCATGCACGTCATGGGAACTCCTTTAGCTATCGGGAAATCGTGTTTTCAACCTGCCCCGAACAAAATATTTTAAGCGTTGAAATTAAGAGATGTTTCACTCACTTTAGAATGTTAAGTCATGAAGAGATCCCTTGATACATGAAATGATCATTAATACTATAATGTTTTTCATCCAAAACGAATAAGAGATATTTCACTCAAAACTCCATAAAATTTGACGCGTCATAACTAGATAAATTTTATATTTTGCTTTTCTACCATTTTCTACTATGCACCCCTACAGACTCCAGAAAGGCAATACACCTAGTCCTTTCTCAAAGCATCAGATAATAGGTTCTTTTGACTTTCTCTGAAAAGGAGCAAGGTAGAGTATAGAGATGAGAAGCTAGGGGGTAAAGCTTGAGACATGGGACAATTTTATGAAATATTGGCTAGCCAGAGTCAACAGCTTTAATTTCCCTTCTGATAGCATCAGAAGACATCAATGGCTTAATGGCGAACTGAGCAAATCTGGAAGGCAAACCATGGCCTAACCTGAAATCTTCTACAAGGAAATTACCGTAAGAAATCAAGGAAATCATAACAGTGGTATCTACCCATCTAAAGCCTCATCAAAAGCATCAGTGTTAACTTCAAATTAATAGTTGGTGTGCTCAGAGGGTGTAAAAGCAATAAATTTGTAGTTCAAATGTTACTAGTTTAAAAATTGAGATAAATTTATTGTCCATGGTGTGGAGGCCGGGAAAGTAGAAACGCAGCAATCATGAATTAAAACAAGGGAGGCCTCAAGGGGTCAAAAGCCACACGCCCTGCAAAATTTGGTTGAATGAAAATATTTTTTACTAGAATCAAAATGAGAATAGATATCAGACTAGAAAAGAATTTTGTAACTTGAAATATATTTGATGAGAAGGTAAAGAAATAAGAATAAGTTTTCAAATAAATGTTTGATAGAACAAAATTAGAGAAATAATGGAAAGAAAAATAGATTATGTTGACATCATCCAAGCTATCGAAATTCATCAACAAGTGGGATAAAAATAGATAGTGTCTTATGGTCGTTGGGCTTTGGTAAAGAAAGCCGAAGGGATGAAAACGCACACCATGTCCATGGACTAGAGATCGCTCCAAACCTTGTTTACCTTTCTAAGTGAGGTGGGAAAAAGTCAAGCCTCTGGGTAGAGTGGTCACATACAGTACATGACTTAAAGCACAGCCAGAGACAACAAGACATGAAAATTCAAGCAAACCAGAGGATCATGTGCACTGCACGAGAGCATGCCCCGTTGATAACCATAACGTCCATATAAGCTATGATGCACCCCGAAAACAAATGAGGATAGGGTTTCCTGAGAAATTTGGGGAAACGACAATAAAGAAGCACACAGAACTCTGTATCCCATTGGCAATTCGAGAGTCGACCAAGGGCTACATCGTAATCTGTGAGAAATAGAAGGGAATACTCCCTACTATGTCAAGATAGCTCCTTTAGGATTAATCAGTTCATCGCCCACTTGAATGCTCATTTCCCCCAAATTCAACAAGCAACCCTGAACCTCCACCTGTACAGGATCATCAAGGCCTTAGCAGACAATAGGTTCCAACTTGAGACAAAATATCCCGTCAAAAAACATGTCTCTTGATCAGCGCTGAACATCGTAATCAACTGCCAATGGCCTACTTTCACCTTTCCGGAGACCTATGTCCCTTAGAGCCAAGAAACGCATCAACCTTGTATCCAATTGCCACAAGAACATGGTCATGCCATCCTCACCACTAAAAACAACTAATAACAGTTGTATAAGGCACGCACTATCAGTCAAAAAGAAATTCCCTTTCCCATAAAGTTCAAGCAATCGAAACACATCAACAAATGCAAAGTCCTAACTTCCTTTCCCTACTTGATATGGGCCGTTTGTTTAAACTTGTTCCATGTGAAGGGACATATTTTTTTGAAACTAAATCCATTTTGTAAAATTTTTATAATGTTTGCTTACACTTCTAAAAATAATCAGAAACTAAAAAAAAAATAGATTTTTAATTATTTTGAAAAGCTATTTTGAATAACTGTTGAAAATAATCCGAAGTTATATGAGAAAGAATGCCATAAAAATGTGGAGATACGTAAAAACATCATAAAATTTTAAAATTACTAAATAGTAAATTTTTTTTTATAAATTGAGGACCACAAAGATATCATAAAATCTAAAAATCACTTTTCATTACTGTAACCTAACATAAAATAATATACACATACACATATTCTTATTTTAAAAACAACTCACCATTGTGGTAATATTTATACATTAATTAAAAAGTCATATGTCATGAAAGTTTCAACTTAGAGGATGAAAAAATAACCACAGCCTACTAAATAAAAAGACAAGATCATTGTGATTCCCAACCTACGACCTTGAAGTGAGGATATACACAGTATCTTTAAGTTCCTGAATCACAAGATCATAGGCTTCCAAGTTCATCATTATTACTAACTACAAGTTAAATATCCTACCACAGAATAAGTCAGCTCGAAACAGTAGACAATATTTAAAAAAAAAAAATTGGCTAACCACAGTCAACAGCTTTAATTTTCCTTGTCGTAGTATCAACAGACATCAATGGTTTAGTGAAGAACTGAGCAAATCTGGCACGCAAACCATGGCCAAACATCAGATCTTCCATAAGAAAATTATCATAAGAAATAATAAATGAAGGAAACCACAACTGTGGGATCTAACTGTCTAAAACCTCTTCAAAAGCATCAGTGTTAACATCAAAGTAATAGACGGCGTGCTCAGAGGATGTAGAAGCATTGATGCTTCCTCCATGCTTATGCAGTGTCACGAAGACAAACCACAATTATGGCAAAACAACAGTGATTAGCAAACAATTGAAATGCAACTCTGAAGGGTACATATCGATTATTTAACTTGAGTTATGATGTAATGTAAATATAATTGATAAATTACTAATACAAATATTCATGCCTTTATGGCCATTAAATTTGCATTCCAAATCTTACCAGTTTCTACAATTGAGATGAATTTAACAATTATAATTTTTTTTATATAGGAGATTTAAGATAATAAAATATCATGAAAAATATAGCAATCAAACGAGGGAGACCACAAAGGCTAGAAATCACATCTAAGGTCATTTTTGGCTGAATGAAAAGATTTTTTTTTTTATGAAAATGAATGAAAAGATTTTTAATGGAGTGAAAATGAGAATAAAGATGAGAATAGAATAGATTTTTGCAATTTAAAATACATTTAGTAAATAAGAAAAGAAACCAAAATATTTTGTCTCCAGCATGAACAGAAAATTCCCATCCACTTTTTGATAGAAAATCTGCATCACATCTTCCCAACATAAATGCCCTATGATTTTGCTATGACAAAAGTTCCCAAGGACTTTAAATTAACATAGTTTCCTATCTCGATCTGCTAGTACCTAGTATTAGCAGTGGCACCATTGAAGATCCTATTATTTCTTCAAAACCAAATGCATCGATGAGCAATACTTTCTTCCAAACTTTACTTAGGTTCCATTTGATTCGCCCACTGCATCATGCCTGCACAAGAGAAAAGGCAACGCCAGAAAAGATTCGAGATAAATGTTTTCCAAAGATTCAAAGGACCTGGACCAAAAGGAGAAAAGGGATGAAAACGACGTGTAAAGGACAAGATTGTTAAATAACATTTTCCTATCCAAAACAAAAATATATATCTCTCTTTTCTTTTTTGTGAAATATGGACTTTTCAAAGAACTCATCTTACCAGAGATAAAGCATGTAATTCTCATTCTTACTTTCCACACACACTTCCAATTAGAGGTGGGATTATAGAATCAAAATGAGAATTGATATCAGACTAGAAAAGAATTTTGTAACTTGAAATATATTTGATGAAAAGGAAAAGAAATAAGAATAAGTTTTCAAATCAATGTTTGATAGAACAAAATTAGAGAAGTAATGGAAAGAAAAATAGATTATGTTTACATCATCGGAGCTATCAAAATTCATCAACAAGTGGGATAAATCGTTGGGCTTTGGTAAAGAAAGCCGAAGGGATGAAAACGCACACCATGTCCATGGACTAGAGATCGCTCCAAACCTTGTTTACCTTTCTAAGTGAGGTGGGAAAAAGTCAAGCCTCTGGGTAGAGTGGTCACATACAGTACATGACTTAAAGCACAGCCAGAGACAACAAGACATGAAAATTCAAGCAAACCAGAGGATCATGTGCACTGCACGAGAGCATGCCCCGTTGATAACCATAACGTCCATATAAGCTATGATGCACCCCGAAAACAAATGAGGATAGGGTTTCCTGAGAAATTTGGGGAAACGACAATAAAGAAGCACACAGAACTCTGTATCCCATTGGCAATTCGAGAGTCGACCAAGGGCTACATCGTAATCTGTGAGAAATAGAAGGGAATACTCCCTACTATGTCACGATAGCTCCTTTAGGATTAATCAGTTCATCGCCCACTTGAATGTTCATTTCCCCCAAATTCAACAAGCAACCCTGAACCTCCACCTGTACAGGATCATCAAGGCCTTAGCAGACAATAGGTTCCAACTTAAGGCAAAATCTCACGTCAAAAAACATGTCTCTTGATCAGCGCTGAACATCATAATCAACTGTCAATGGCCTACTTTCACCCCTCCCAGTGGATGTAAAAGCATCAGTGTTGACTTCAAAGTAACAGTTGGTGTGCTCAGAGGATGTAAAACCATTAAATTTGTAGTTCAAATGCTACAAGCTTTAAAAATGAGATAAATGCACGGTTCATGGTATGTGGGGAAGTACAAAAAGGAGGGTAGATTTGGGTTAAGTTAAAAAGATCATGAAAAATAGTTACAAAAATATCTAAAACACTGCAGCAATCGTGAATTAAACGAGGGAGGCCTCAAAGGGCCAAAAACCACACGCAAGGCAATATTCGGTTGAATGAAAAGATTTTGTTTTGAATAGAATGAGAATAGAGAGCAGGATAGAAAAGAATTTTGTAACTTAAAATATGTTTGATAAAAAGGAAAAGAAATAAGAATAAGTTTTTTAATAAATGTTTGATAGAAATAGAATAAAAATATAGAGGTAATGGAACGAAAAGTGGGCAATTAACCATAATATAAACTTAATAAAAAACACCTTAAGCTTACTAAAAGTAACGGCACCTACTGTAATTATTTCCTCAGACCGAATCATGTCTGCACAAGAAAAGAGGCCACGCTAGAAAGAATCCGGGATCAATGTTTTCCATATATTATGAATCAATGCACTGCAGTCACGTGCGTGCACTTGACTCGCGCTCTCGACCGCACTTGCTATGCTATCAGACAACAATTTCAAAATGTTGGGAAACATGCAGTTTCCGCGCTGATGTATAAATGGGGCCAGTTCCATCTTCGTTAGTAGCATCAACGGACAATCAATATGCAGACAGAAGATCAACGAAACAACACCAAGTCCATCGGTGACAGCCGCGTTACACTCTTCACTCATTAACGACAGAAAGATTTCAACAAAGCTACCCGGTAAAAAACAAGGACATCACTTAAAATTTAATAAAGCAACAAATTCGAGCCATCGACTTCCATGCTCTCAGAAAAAAGCAAACGAGGATCGTTGTGTGTGTATAGTTCACTAAAAACAAGATGACGACTAAAGTACGTACAGATTCGAGAGGAGCAGTTAACGGCAAATAAGACATGGACCATTTCCAGACTTCGGGTAGAAAGAAAAAGACGGAAAAAGAAGAATAAAAAACAACAAACCTCGGCTCTTGTTCAAAACTGATGCCAAATTTTGAGAAGCCAAATGCTTTCATAGATGCAAACCCTAGCAATCCTTACGATAGTGCCTTCGCATGGGAAAGATTAAAGAGAGGCTTTAGAGTACCCAGGCAATGGAAGAGCGGAGGGAATGGAATTAGCGTAGAGGAGGAGGTGACTGAAAGTAGCTTCCTGCAAAACTGATATTTATAAATGATATGTACGGGCGTATTCTCCACGCAACTGTGATTTAATTTAAAAAATAACTTCATTTAATAAATTGAATTATTTTAACAACTCGCTAAACTAATTGTATGTGTAGTTCCCGAACGGAAAAATGATGGTTTGATAAATGAAACTGCATTTTGCTCAAAAAATAAAAACAAGTGAAACTGCATAAACAATCAATCAAACTTGCTCTTCACGCCACAACGTTCTCGAAGGAAAACAAGAAGGGGGAAACATTAAATGTGAACTGAAGTACTATTATTATTACATCAACGCTGCAACGGAAAAATATCTCGATGATTTCAAAATACCAATGATTTCAAACTTACTCAACTTATTGCAAATCAAATTATTGAATATTTCAATAATTTTAAAATCTTTATATTTTTATGATGATTTTTTTACAAAATATATTGAATTTAATGGTCTATAAGTATCATAAATTTATTCTATAATAATATTTATATATTTTTTCGGAGGTTGCATTCACTATAATTTTTTAAGCAAAATTAAGTTCCCCATATATGTGAATGGATATTGAAATGGAGGTTTTTTTTTTCAACTGAAATGGTTGTTTTGGTATAGTTCTGTGAGACCATTACAAGAGATCATTTTTGTCCACGACAAATTGACATAAGATGAATGAAGAAGACATTGATAATTCAATATATTTAAAAGATATGTTAAAAGAATATGATGAGAATGTATCATGTATGGTTTGTTTGAAAATAAGATTTACTTGAAAATTATTTACAACAATTATATTTAAAAAATTAATATTTTCTATTGAGATACAATGACAAAAAATGATGTTATTATCAAGGGAGGTTAAATTGATATCCTCACAAGAGCAAATAAGATTCATGTTGTATTCTTTTTTTCTTAATCAAGATTTTGTCTTGGTGAATTTTTTTGGTAAGGTTTTTAATGAGTTAACTTCAATGTGTATTATATACTATTTTTTCTTGAATATATTTTTTTTGTCCCGTTAAGTTTTTTCTAGTAAAATTTTAATAAAGCACGGTATGAATATTATAATTAGTGTGAATGTTTGTAACACTCAACCTTCCACATTATATCCATATTGAATGACATTATACCCCCATAACTCCCTGATTGAAAAGTTTCTAGTATTTATTTTCAAATCGTATAATTATATTGTGTAATTATCTTCTTTATGTACTTGTAACTCTTAGGATTAGTCTTCAATATTGGACTCCTATAAATACAGGTGATGCACACATATTTGTGATGTCATAAACAAATAAAAATCACTCCCCCTTTCCTCTCCAATTTTTTCTTGTGTTCTCCATTTCTTTCAGCTCAATCTCTTTTTTTTTTTTTTTCATTTTTTGAGACTTTTGGCTCCTAAATATTGTTATTAATTAAATTCACGAGTTAACTTTTTAAGTTTATCATTTTTATATTTTTAACTTACAAAATTGTTCTCATAAACTCGGACTAAATCTAAGTTATGTTAAACTCACAAGTTGACTATCTATGTTTGTCATTTTTACATTCAAGGTTTATAGAATTGTGTCAACTTAATCATAAACTTAGACTAGATGCAAACTCAATTAGACTTGTCAATTTTTCATCAAGTTAAGTGAGTTAAATTTATATTTTGTAGAATTCAATTCATAAAAGCGGGTGACCCGCTTCAAATAAAATAAAACTAAAACAAAAAAAAAACCAATATTGATAAAAATGAAAACAAGAAATATCAAAAATAAGTTACCCAATTTTAAAATTTCTATACTAAGTATGATAACATGTCAATGTATGTAGATTTAATTTCAATGATATACGCTTGAAACATAGTCATATCAAATTATAGTCATACTTTATATTTTAATTATTTAATCATATACATTCAATAACTATTTATTAATAGAGGTAAATTATTACATATTTACTATTTGAGTTTACATTATATCATAAATTTACTTAAACATATGAGTTTGATAACCTTGCTCCTAGATGTTGTTATTTTACCTCCATCACTTATCCAAATAAACTTGAGTTATGTTTTAAATACATTCGATAAAGTGATAAACCTAAATAATAAATCTGCAATTCAAGCTACTTGTTTCTAAATGGAGCAAATTTTAATGTCCACAACTTTTACAGGGACACATAGGTACGGGAAAGAAATTGTATTAAGTTTATAATTTTAATTTAATTATAGCTTATTTTGAAGACTTTAATTAAGCACAACGCAGTCTCTATTGTATAAAAAATTTAAAATATTTGTTCCCATATTTTTTAAAGTAAAATTATATTTGAAATTTTAATATTTATATAGATTGAAATTTTTAATAATTTAACATATTAATCACTACATTTGAAAATAATTTTAAACTTTATAAGTTTATTTTTTAAAATATAAGAACCAATATTTTAAATAGTTAAAATTATGAGAATTAAGTATGCCTAATCAATGATCAAGTTACAACCCAAAAGACTATAAAAAACTTAGTTACAACAAGTTAAAATTCAAGAATTGGGTTTATAAATGAGTTAAAATTATAAGAGCTAAATGATTAATTTTTTTCTAAAACACTATTTATAAAAAAATATTTTACTCTCCCTTTCTTACTTCCATGCCACTATTTATTGGTGTAAGGTCATATACCTAATCCTAATTTTAAAATAATGTCAATCTTTATTTTTCCTAAAACATAGGAACTATATTTTAAAAAATTAAACTATAAGGAACAAGTTGTATCGAGTCAAGATTCAAGGACAAGTTATAACTAAATTAAAACTATAAGAATTGACTTATAA